CGGCTGTAGCGTAGAGCCTGGCTGTATACAATGGACCATTTGGTATGTTTAGGATGGTAGCTTGAGGCATGTAGGTATGTTTGTTGATTAGTAGGTTTCTGGTATAAGGTGGCATCTATGCATCCATTCTGTATTTTTACAGTAATGGCCAGAAAATGTATTTCTTGTACAGATTGATTCATTGTCAGGTTGATGGTAGGGTGAAATACCTGGTGGAATATGTCCAGGTCTTCTTTACCGTATGTCCAGACAATAAAAATGTCATCATTGTAATGCAAGTATAAGAGATATGAGTGGGTGGGAGTTTAGGAAGCATTGCTACAAGTCAGCCATAAAGAGGTTAGCATACTGTGGGGTCATACAGGGGCCCATTGCTGTACCATTGATCTGGAGGAACAAGTTGTCGCCAAATCTGAAGTGGTTACGGCTGAGAACAAAACGGCACCGTTTGGGGGCCAAGTCAGCTGTGCTGTTGTCAGAAATCATATTCCTTGTGGCTTGTGTAATCCATCTTTGAGTGGGATGTTCATATACAGAGATTCCACATCCATGGTGGCTAAATCAGTGTTCTCTGGAAGGTTGTTCAAAGATTGCATTTTCTTTAGACAGTCTGGTGTCACGAACATAACTAGGAGCGTTGATCACACAGGGTCTTAGAACAGAGTCCATGTATCCAGAAACCCCCATGGTGATAGTGCCTATACCTGAGACAATGGGGCATCCTGGGTTGCCAGGTTTGTGTATTTTAGGTAGAAGATAAAAGGTACCTGGTTGAGATGCCTGCGGCGTGTCTGAAAGGATTTGTTCCTGAAAGTGCAGGGGTAATTCCTTTATAATCTTGTTTGGTTCTTTCTTGTATTCCTGTGTGGGGTCTGAATCCAGTTGTTTGTAAAAAGCAGTATTTGAGAGTTGTCTTTGAGCCTCCTGGATGTAGTCTGATCTATTCATGATGACAACGGCTGCACCTTTGTCTGCCTCTTTAATTATAATATCTGGATTATTCCTGAGACCGTCGATGTTATTAAGATTAGCAGCCTGCAGGTTACAGAGTTTTTAATTTATTTGTTTTTTGTTACTTCAGCAACTCCAACTGAGAGTGGTAGATGGCTTGTTCTTTTCTTGTGGAAATTTTGCCAAGCAGGTGGACTCCTTGTAGAAATGTCCAGTTCAGACAGTTTCTCCTTGATCAGCTTCTGTTTGCAGTATGGTACACTGATCAGATGTTTGAGTAGTTTCTTGGAGAATGTGAGTCAGTTTTTCTGCAAAGTTCATAGGGTAAGTGCATTATAGTATAGAGGATTCTTCATTCTTAATCCTTTAGGTATAATGTCCAGGTGTTTGCGTTTTGTAAGAAAGGAAATATCAGTCTGTACTTGTTATTCCTGCTTGGTGCTTGAATCTGTTAAACATCTTATTATGCTGCATGAACAAATTTTGAGTCCTGTGGCACCTTTAAGGCCAACAAAAGTTTATTCAAGGTATGAGGTTTCGCTTGCACACATGCCTTGAATAAACTTGGTCTTAAAGATGCCACTCAAAAATTGTTCTACTGCTTCAGACCAACATGACTGCCCACCTGGAATTATGCTGCATGGTAATTTATTGCTATGGAGCTGCCGTGGCTCAAGTGGTTAAGACGCTGAACTGCAGGCTGTGGAAGGTCAGTAGTTCAGCAGTTCGAGACTTGGGTGCCGCAAGACGGAGTGAGCTCCCTTCTCTAGTTCCGGCTCCTGCCAACCTAGCAGTTCGAAAGCAAGAAATTGCAAGTAGATAAATAGGTACCACTTCAGTGGGAAGGTAACAGCATTCCGTGCGCCTTGGTGTTTAGTCATGCCGGCCACATGACCACGGAAACGTCTTTGGACAGCGCTGGCTCTTCGGCTTTGAAATGGAGATGAGCACCGCAACCCTAGAGTCAGACTCAACTGGCTTTCGAGCAAGGGAACCTTTACCTTTACCGTAATTTATTGCTGAGCCTCTACCTATATGTATGGCCTCGTAATTTCCACTTCATTGTATCTGAAGAAGTGTGCATGCAAACGAAAGCTTATAGCTTGAATAAAACTTTGTTGGTCTTAAAGGTGCCCCACTGGACTCAAACTTTGTTCTGCTGCTTCAGACCAACACGGCTACCCACCTGAATCCACCCTGATTTCTGTAAAGCACTTTACGTGAGGCTGCCTTTGAGGAATGGAAACTTCACTTGATCCAATACAATAGCTAGCTTAAGTGGGGCTGGTCATAAAGATCATATTTCCCCTAATTAGAAAGAACTTCCTGGGTTCAATTTGAGTTTACAGTAGGGTTGTCAGATCCTCTTCGCTTGCCGGTGAGGGGTGGGAGGGAGCTCTCCGGGAGTGTGGGGTGGGGTGATGTTGCCGCACATGACATCCCAGCATGATGATGTCACGTGAAAGTTATGTGATCACGTGGGGGACATCGCACAGCAGCACTCTGGTATTTTGGGCAATATTCTATGGGTTGCCCAAAATGCCAGAGTGTTGCTGTGTGGCGTCCCCAGCGTGATGACATCACTTCTGCGTGATGTCATCACACTGGGGATGTTGCACCGGGTGTTACCTGTGAGGGGCGGGGCTTCCCCCTTCCGGCCAGCTGCTCCAATTCTACAGACAGAGATTCCCACATGGGGGCTGGCAACCTGAGTCTAGAGTCTTTGAGGTGCTTTCACACATGCCAGATAATGCAGTTTCAATCCACTTCAGCGGCCGTTTGCAAGTGGATTTTGCCATTTCGCACAGCAGAATCCAGTTGCAAAATACATTGAAAGTGCTTTATTTATTGTGTGTGAAAGTGCTTATAGGAGGGAAACTGACTCTAGTTAACACACACACACCCCTCCATTTGTACGTCACGGGTAACTCAGGAGGAGAGTTGCCAACTCTACCCTGATAAATGCCTGGGGCTTTTAAGGGGGTGGGGTGCCTATGGAAGGGGGAATCTGGTGAGAAATTTCATCTAGAATGTATGGCCATGCCATAGACTCCGCCCTCTGAATTTGCCATTTTCTCTTGGCCAACCGGTCTCCGTAGCCTGGAGATCAGCCGTAGTTCAGGAGAAGTCCAAGTCCCCCTTGGAGGCTGGCCACCCTACCAGATGGAGTTCCTTTTTAAGCAGGATTCTCAGCATGAGCAGGGATGGGGTGGGCAGGAGAAGGAGGTACAAGCAGGTCCAACGAGCTGGGTTTAAGCACACCCTGACTTTGAGTGACATCTCTCCAGGCTAAACATACTCAGCTCCTTCAACCTTTCCTGCTAGAACTTGGTCTCCAGACCCCTCACCATCTTCGTTGCCCTCCTCTGGACACGTTCCAGCTTGTCTATATCCTTCCTAAATTGTGGTGCCCAAAACTGAACACAATACTCTAGGTGAGGTCTAACCAGAGCAAAGTGATACTAGCCAGTTTGGTGTAGTGGTTAAGTGCGCAGATGCTAATCTGGGAGAACCGGGTTTGATTCCCCACTCCTCCACTTGCACCTGGCTGGATGACCTTGGGCAAGCCATGGTTCTGATAAGAGCTGTTCTTGAAAAAGAGCAGTTTCTGTCAAGAGCTCTCTCAGCCCCACCTACCTCACAGGGTGTCTGTTGTGGGGAGGGGAAGGGAAAGGAGTTTGTAAGCCGCTCTGAGACACCTTTCGGTAGTGAAGGGCAGGGTATAAATCCAATCTCTTCTTCTTCTACTACTACTACTATCACTTCGTGTGATCTGGACACTGTACTTATGTTGATTCAGCCCAAAATCGCATTTACCTTTTTAGCTATCGTATCACACTGTTGACTCATGTAACATGAGAATCACTCAGTGTGCATATAAAGGAAAAACAAGTGTACATGGATTGCAGATGCATTCACCGAACGGTGTTACTATTGGGCTCTTACATGGGTGGTGGGGAAGAGATGGATATGTGTCAAATCCAGATTGTTTGCTTTTCTCCTTCATTAGTTGTGACATCCTGGATTCAAGCAAGGGACAAAACAAAACAGAGAGTAGGAAACTTGCCTTGAAATTTCACAGCATCCCTACTGTGTCTTCCTTTCTAGGCCATTCAGACTAGGTGATATTGGATCTTAGCTGGTTCCTGGAAGGCTCTGTTTTGGTGGTGGGGAGGGGTTCCTTGTATTTTATGGCTTGATTGCCAAATTGCTGTGTTAAATTGTCAGACCTCCTTAGTAGTTTTTGCACTGAAAGGTAAAATATAAATGCATGATAAATAAATTTTCCACTACTTAGTGACTAAGTTCCACCACAAAAGAGATAATTGGACCTACATATGGGCATGTGTGTGCAAGAATCTCAGGATAACTGGGTTTGGAGGAAGAGGCCCGTTGTCCTGAAAGTTGGAGCAAATCGTACCCCGTAAAGCAGTGATTGGCTGGTTGAATGCAGGCATCCAATTGGCTGATAACCATATATATAAACCTTTTTGTGGCCAGTCCCAACTGCAGTAATTCATATTCTCTCAAAAATCGTGGCCAGCATTACCTCAGCATTTGCCCTTCCTTTCCAGCATCTCAGCTTTCTTCTCATATTTTGACACGACTACCTCCTATCTCTGACCCACAGAAGTCACTTAATTCCCTGAGCCCATTTTGTAAATGGTCTCACTGCTGCCTCCCAGGACCAAAACTGGCACTTTGGAACGCTCTCCTGTGGTCCTGGCTTCTGCCTGAAGCTAGTTTTGTCCACTTCAGGTGAAAAATCCCCTGAAAGTGTACGCTTCATTTCTCAGACACTCTGTTTTTTCTCTTTCCC